AGCATCTCATTTGTCCTTTTGCTGACTGGTCTATCTTGGATGCTACTGGTGAACGTGGTCTCTTAAAACAGGCAAATGTCTCCCTGTGCTTTCACTGTGATCTGAACCGACCTCTCTGCTCTGGATCTCTTCAACTGTGTGAAGTATCATTGCATGTGGACACTTTGCATTCCTCCTCTGGCCTTAATTTTAAATCTGTCTTGTTCTGCATCATTACTATGGGTAAAAGAAATGGCTCCAAATCATCCACTGAACCTTTTGCAAATCCAGGTTGCTTTCATGCAGCATGGTTACAGCATTTTATTTGAAATTCCACAGCTGCATCCAACAAGTAAAGGCAGTCCAAAGACCGGCTCTGGCACCTGAAGTATAGGTGATGGGTATCTATCATGTTTCCAGGAAAGTAAACAACAGTAGCCAATGGAAACATATATGATACCTGGCACAGTGCAGGGGGAAAACCTCCGGGAACTGTCAAGCAGACAGGTTAAAGTACAGACACCTGAGATTTGTAGTTTGGTGAGGTACTTGAGCTCTCATGCAGAGAATTCTAAATACAACACAAAACTACAAACTACACATTCCCATAGAAGGGCTCTTAAAAAGATCCGAAAGCGATCCAACTGGAGAATATGAAAAAGACCCAAAATATGTCAAAGTGAACCCCTTTATAGTTTCCACATCTTACTTACTTCCTTATTTAGGCGATCCTTTGTTGTTCAAATATGATGGCCTTCCAAGTGCGATGTCTTGGCGGTGGCTGTAGGTGACTGTGGAGCTCTATTCTTGACCCGTATGTTCTTCCACAGTTTTTTTTTGGTCGTGTCAGGAGTGACTCCTGGTGTGAGAGAATTGGCCGTCTGCAAGGACGTTGCCCAGGGGACGCCTGGATGATTTGATGTTTTTATCATCCTTTGTGGGAGGCTTCTCTCATATCCCCGCACGAGGAGCTGGAGCTGATAGAGGGAGCTCATCTGCCTCTCCCTGGATTCGAACCTGCAATCTGTCAGTCTTCAGTCCTGCCGGCACAGGGGTTTAACCCACTGCGCCACCGGCGGCTCCTCTTCCACAGTGAGGGCATTTGTTTCCAGATAGAAGGTGGTCCTGATCAGGGTTGGCTTAATACACCTTCCTCTTGGCATGTTTCTCCCTTTTGCCCTCCATTTGTGCCTCTTCAAATTCCACAGCATTTCTGGTCACAGCTGACCTCCAGTTAACTTCCACATCAGTGGAAGAGTGAATCTGGTCCAAATTTGAATTTGAACTTTGGAAGACCTCCCCAAAGTTCTTACTCTGTTTCCAAAATAGATTAAATTCCTTTAAAAGGTTTGTATTGCGTACTGTTTTAGCTATTTTGCTTTAATACGCAGTGTAAACAACTTTGGGATTCATATGGAAGGAAAGTGGGATTTAAATAAAACAATAGGCTCGACCTCTTTGTAGTTCTTTAAAGTTCAGACTCAGCTGTAAATCAGATTCATCACTCCCCTGACATTGAAGTCACTGACTGCTACAGGGTCACAGCAGAATTCTGACCATGTCTACCCAAGGAAAATGTCCCAAACATTTTTGGTCATGATCATTTAATAACAACAAGCACCATACTGGTGCTTGAGAAAGAAACTACAGTAGTCTCTTGCTTATCCAACCTTTGCTCATCCAACATTCTGTATTATCCAACGCAGTCTGTCTCCTGCTTGGAATAATGTCCAGGGTGGGAGAAAGAAAGAAAGAACTCTAGCCTGTTTTGGTGTTAAATTCATAGATACAATAATTACTGCATTATGTTATTGTGTATTGAACTGCCTTTTCTGTTGATTTGTTGTAAAACATGATGTTTTGGTGCTTAATTTGTAAAATCATAACGTAATTTGATGTTTAATAGGCTTTTCCTTAATCCCTCTTTATTATCTAACATTTTCGCCTATCCAACGTTCTGCCGGCCCGTTTATGTTGGATAAGAGAGACTTTACTGAGTGTGAGAGCCGTTCAGCAGTGGAACTCTCTGCCCCGGAGTGTGGTGGAGGCTCCTTCTTTGGAAGCTTTTAAACAGAGGCTGAATGACCATCTGTCAGGGGTGATTTGAATGCAATATTCCTGCTTCTTGGCAGGAGGTTGGACTGGATGGCCCATGAGGTCTCTTCCAACTCTTTGATTCTATGATTCTACTGTAGTAACAAAAGCAGAGGCCTGCCACCAGACATCTAGCCACAGTGTCTTGGTTATGCTTTGTCTTCCAACTTGATTCTTGAAAACTATCTTAAAATCCAGCCAGCCATACAGTCAAAGAAAGAGCATTTTACCAGTTTGAAAAAGTTGTTCTATTCTAGAGCCCATCACCAACTGTGAGAAACTCTGGCTTCCACTGTCCAAAGTAAACTGTTCTTTGATGTAAAACACCATGTGCATCTAATAATAATCAATAAACCTTATTTTGCCATTGCGGCCCTACTTTGTTGTCTCGTTACCCTCAAATCTGTTTTGCAATGCATGCATGCATCTGATTTTGTAGTCCCATTTCCAGTTGGATTATATGAGATGCTGATATGTGTGGGCTCTTCCACACAGCCCTATATCCCAGAATATCAAGGCAGATAATCCCACAATATCTGCTTTGAACTGGAATATATGGCAGTGTGGACTCAGATAACCCAGTTCAAAGCAGATATTGTGGGATATTCTGCCTTGATATTCTGGGATATAGAGCTGTGTGGAAGGGCCCCAAGTGTCCTGTTTTAAGAGAGTTCTAGGAGTGGCATTTCTCCTTTTATGACCAATGTTTTCAAGAGGGGAGGTAACATTACACCAGCAAGGTATATCATTTGTATGCTAACTTTAAAGGATTTTAAAAAAACTCTTTAGCCAAACACAAGCTTTTCAACTGTGAGCATACGAACTTGGGAGTCAGGTTGTACAGGTAAAAGTTTCCCCAGCTTGCTCATAGTCCTCAATGTTAGAAACACTATAAATGCTTCAGTTATGAACCCCTTTGATATTTACTGTTCCCAAAAGTTTGCATGTGATAGGGTGTTTGAAGTGTCTGTGGCTTAGTCAAGTTCTCTTTCTAATCAGGAAAAAGAGAAGATTTCCATAGATGGTAAACAAAGTTTTTATATATAAGTAGTTCCTCAACTTGGAAAAGGACAGAATGTTAGAAATGATATCTAGGGAGAGACAAGGAAGCAGAGCCACAGAAACAACCCACAATACTCCTTTCTGTAGTGCAGAGATGGAGCAAGTGTGGTCTCTGGTACAGCAATCTCTGCCAGCCCCAAAAACCTTCAGACTTCCAATTAGGGGAAATATCTATATCAGCATTTTTCAACTTGGGGGTTAGGACCACTGGGGTTGCAAGGGGGTGTCAGAGGGGTTGCCAAAGATCATCTGATGTTGTTTATTTTATTGTTTATGATTTGTTTTGTTTGTTATGTTATGCCGACATTGAATGTTTGCCAATTTTCTGTTGTAAACCGCCCTGAGTCCCCTTGGGGAGATAGGGCGGTATAGAAATAAAGATTATTATTATTATTATTATTATTATTATTATTATCATCATCATCATCATTATCAGAAAACACAGTATTTTCTGTTGGTCATGGGGTTCTGTGTGGGAAGTTTGGCCAAATTCTATAATTTGTGGGGTTCAGAATGCTCTTTGATTGTAGGTGAACTATAAATCCCAACAGCTGCCACTCCCAAATGTCAAGGTCTATTTTCCCCAAACTCCACCAGTATTTACATTTGGGCATATTGAGTATTTGTACCAAGGTTGGTCCAGATCCATCATTCTTTGAGTCCACAGTGCTCTCTGGATGTAGGTGAACTATAATTTCAAAACTCAAGGTCAGTGCCCACCAAACCCTTCCAGTATTTTCTGCTGGTCATGGGAGTTCTGTGTGCCATGTTTGGGTCAATTCCATCATTGGTGGAGTTCAGGATGCTCTTTGATTGTAAGTGAACTATAAATCCCAGCCACTACAACTCCCAAAATCAATCCTCTCCAACCCTACCAGTATTCAAATTTGGTATTTGTGCCAAATTGATCCAGTAAATGAAAATACATCCTGCATATCAGATATTTACATTATGATTCATAACAGTAGCAAAATTACAGTTATGGAGTAGCAACGAAAATAATTTTATGGTTGGGGGTCACCACAACATGGCAAACTGTATTAAGGGGTTGCGGCATTAGGAAGGTTGAGAAGCACTGATCTAGATGTATTTTTTTAATGCACAAAAAGTTATGTTTTAAAGGTTATAACATTTCTATAGAATTTACATCATGGACTTGTTCAGGCTACGTGGTTGGATTAACATAGCATAGGGCTACCTCAACATGACTGAGCAATAGAGGCACCCAATAGAGTTGCTCATGTTTGAAGGCACACTACAGCTCTTCTCACCATGCATTTTAATGCTCTGAGAATATAATGTGGTGTACAGTCTTGAAAAGGTCTTTGGAAACTCATCTCCACTGGAGCAGGAAATTTGCCAGGTAACCTTGTGGTTGATGGGGTTAAGTACCATTGGAGTCTACCTCCAACCATGGAGAGATCTTTTGAACAACTGGGCTACATCAGTCTACCTTCAAACACAAGATGACGGAAAACTATGGGCACATTTGTACTTCCAGCTCTTGGTGCCACAATCACAAAGCTACGCCACTGCTTTCTTTCTTAGTCTGAGCTACCTCACAGGTCTATTGAGCAAATACACCAACGAGGAAAGGAGATCAAGGGATATAAAAATATAACTTAGGCATAAGTTAACCTCTACTCTGGGCCTACAGCTAAGCCACCAGGAACCTTCTATTTTGTAGAACTGGATTCAAAGAAGCCCCATTTTTCCATCAGAAGACAATAATCTTGCCCTCTTGTATCATTTGCTGCTCTGTCAGAAAGCATTTCCTCAAAGGCGTTAACAATTGAAGAGCAGTATATGCCTCTTTGTATCAGCTTTGTCTTTCCGGAAGTAAGCTGCCACAAATGATTAACTAATGTATAATTTTCCAATGCAAATCCATCATCGTCTATAAAAAGGCAGGTGAGGGGAGTTTGGGAAGACCGCACCTACCGCAGTTTTGTTTCAAAGGTAAGATGAAATAGATTAAGCGCATCTGGACAGATGGTAAGAAACAAGCTTTTTTGTCCTCTTTTGGAGTCTCTCTTTTCCTGCGTTTCCAAAAGAGACCCAGTCTTTTCTAGGCAAAGCACATAAAAATTGCAATCTTTCTGCCAAATTTTGCTATCGAAAAATGTGGATTATTTTCACAGTTGAGATCTAATCTCTAAACTGAATTTTTAAAAGGGTGTGTGAGCTGTTTTTTAATTTTTACTACTAATTCTAAAAACAAATTGGGAGAGGAGAGAGGAGGGGCGAGTGTAACCAAATGCGAATATTGTATAGATGTTAGGAAGTATTGTATTGGTTTATATATATCACATTTATTTATTTATTTATTTATTTATTTACGGCATTTATATACCGCCTTTCTCAGCCCAGGGACGACTCAGGGCAAATCACAATTGGCAACAATTCAATGCCACAACAATTATAACAAATTAAAACAAGCATAAATAGTATTAAAAACATTTAACAAACAATGTAAGAGTATTAATATTAAAATACTGAAAAATCATGCAAAGCCTTAAAACATTATACACACACACACACACACACACATGTATATATATAGATTTCTTTTACTGTTTTTATGAACATATAAACGTATGAATCCCCTAAAAATCCTTATATAAATATATTAAAATATGGTAACTTGTTTCATTGCATTTCATGTTGTTATTATCAGATTTTTAAAAAGAATTTTATGTTTTTCCAATTTTTTGTTTTAATATGGTTGTTTGTTTGTTTTTTAATGGGTTTTAACTTTGGCTGGAAGCCACTTGGAGACTGAAATATTCACAAGTGGATTTATATCTGCAAACACTGGAATAAGGGAGTTACAAAAGTCTGTATTCATCTAGGGTAGTGGTGCTCAAACTGTGCTCCTCCAATTGTTTTGGACCTCAGCTCACACAATTCCTAACAGCTGGTAAGATGGCTGAGATTTCTGAGAGTTGAAGTCCAAAACATTTGGAGGAGCACGGTTTGAGAAATCTAGGGGTTTGTACGTTGTTACAACACAGGGGAACCAGCCAAGTGACTGATGAGCTTTGGTCCCTATACAAAACTGGACCAATGCAGAATGGAATAGATACGTGTTGGGACCGTTGCACATCGGACCTATTGTGTATTGGTCTAATTGTGCATATTGACACAGGTTAGGGAGTGCCAGTGTGTATTGAGACTCTTTTATTGGTTTAAGGGGCAGTGAAGTGCCTAAAAGGGCAGTGAATTGCGGCATGCCACCATGTTGGCAATATAGCAGGCTTTCCGTGTTCCACTAGGAACAATGGTGGGAAGCTGGATGATTGACACTTCCCCCTATTCCCTGACTGCACCTCGAGAGTTGCCAAGATATGTGGCCATTCTGGCAGCCTTTATGATGAGGGTCTTGGTATTTGAGGGTATTTCTGAGCATCCTTGGATCTCATGTCATGGAAAAGGCAACAGACAAATAAAATATGCAAATATTAAAATACAGACATTAATACATGAACATTTGCCACTTGGGTTAATTACTGGACAATCCTATGCAATACCTTACAATGATAGCTTTCACAAAAGTCTATTGAGGCTAAATGCTGAAGGAGAGCAAATGTTGGCTGGACATTTATTTTTTGCTTTGCTGTAGAACAGCACTGAGCTGAACTTGGAAGAGTTTGAATTGATATTTTTTCTTTGGCTTGTCTTCCATATGGAGACCTGAGGTTTTATGAAGCTGCTTAAAGAGATCTCATTACTCTCTGTGGAATTCCTTTGACTCCTCTTGCAATGGGAAAAGTTCCCCTCAGCTTGTCCTTTGTAGAAAATCATTTCGACATTTGGTTCAGGCAGGTGGAACAGAGGAACAGGGCAGGCTGTTCTGTCTTATTCAAATGCGTCCTGTTGCTCATTTAGCCCATTGACTAAGAAGGGGAAACAATAGCCATTCCATAGTTTCTTGAGCAGTGTGATAAAATGGAGGAAGTTTCAGGGAGGGGGGGGGGATGCAACCTTCTGCAATAACCTTGTTTGAAATATTAAAATAGTACACAAAATACAGAGGCAGTCATTTTCAGGGGATATATCCTTTCACAGTTTCTCAGTGGGACATGTAGATAATTGACTATGATTGCCATTATCTTTTCCTCCTTTCTACATTTTGAAGTACCGTATATACTTGAGTATAAACCAACCCAAATCTAAGCCGAGGCACCTAATTTTACCGCAAAGAAAACTAGGAAAACTTACTTACTTGAGACTAAGCTGAGGGTGGGAAATGCAGCAGCTACTGCTAAAGTTCAAAATAAAATAGATATCAATAAAATAATATTAATTGCGGCATCAGTAGTTGGTTAAATGTTTTTGAATATTTACATAAAACTGTAATTTAAGATAAGAGTGTCCAACTCTGGTTAAAACATTATTCTAACATCCTTCAATGTACATAAATATGCTTATGTATCCTTCCAATAATATAGGCCCGTAGCCGAGGGAGTGGGGCGGGGGGGGGGGCTTGAGGGACTTCAGCCCCCGCTCCCCCGAAATGTTCAGGGTAGTCCGCAAGAAGTCCTTACGTGCATTATTTCACTTCACTTCACTTCACTTTATTTCTTAATTAGTCACTCTCTACCAAGGTGCTCCAAGCGACTTACAATTTAAAATAGCATTTACACACTATAAAATCATTCAACATAAAAACATACAAGTGACTATTTGGTAAATTAGATCTGATCACTTTACTTAAATGCACAACCAAACAGCCAAGTCTTGAGCGCCTTTACAAAAGGTTGCAACTCCGACATTGCTCTAATATATGGAGGCAATGAGTTCCACAGAATTGGAGCATAGATCGAAAAAGCTCTATGCCGTGTAGCTTCCAGGTGTACCTCCCTAGGGCCTGGTATGTATAGGAGATTTTCTTGGGTGGATCGAGGTAACCACTGATGGGAAAAAGGAATGAGGCGGTCCCTAAGATATAAAGGTCCTTGGCCATTTTGAGCTCTAAATGTCAGGATCAGTATCTTGTAAGAGATCCGATGTTCTATTGGTAGCCAATGCAGTTGTTGTAGAATCGGTGTAATATGGGATCTTATAGATGATCCCGCTAGCAGCCTGGCCACTGTATTTTGGACCATCCGAATCTTCTGAGTTGTTGACTTCGAAAGGCCGGCATATAAGGCATTGCAATAGTCCAACCTAGTGGTGACTGTTGTGTGGATTACCGTTGCCAATGCTTCTACCGAAAGGTAGGATGCCAATTTCCTTGCCTGGCGAAGATGAAAAAAGGCCTGCTTACTTATGGCAGTGATCTGGGCCTCCATCGTCAGCAATGAGTCCAACACAACCCCAAGGCTTTTAACTGTGGCAGACGGAACCAGAACTTATTTCAACTGTTACGTTTATTCATATCATAATCTGATCACAATGCTCAATATATCCCATATGCATGGGGGTATCAGGATAATGATACAAAAGGTTTGCTAGGGTAGATCCTGAACCCCCCCTCCCGAATCAAACTCCGCCTCCCCCCCCCCCAATCAAAAAAGTGTGTGTTGTGTGAGAAAGGAGAGGAAGGCGCACACAGTGTGAGAGAGGAGGAGAGGAAGGAGAGCTGAGTTGCTGTTTGGATTGCTGAGGGTCCCGGCAGGAAGGCGTGGGGCTGAAAGAAGCCATTCTTTCTGACCCATACTTTCCTGCCAGGACCCTCACCCGAGTATAAGCCAAAGGAGCCATTTTCAGCCTAAAAAAGGACTGAAAAACTAGGCTTATACTTGAGTATATACAGTATTTATTTGGAAGGTCTCTGGGCACTTCCAGACAGCACCAAAATCCATATTTGAAAAGTGGGTTTAAAAATGCTGGGACTTTACCGCAGGTTCACACACAGAACAGTCAGTCCTGGGATATGGTCCCCCGCTGTCCCCACAGATTTCTTTCAAAGCAGATCAAGATTGAGAGCAGACAGGCAGCATCTGATGGAAGATTTCTTTTTGAAAATTCACTCTGTTATTCTCTGGACCTCATATGCACACATGCAAATATCTTAATATCTTGGCCACGGTAGTCCACGCTCTGGTTACATCCCGTTTAGACTACTGCAACGCTCTCTACGTGGGGTTGCCTTTGAAGACGGCCCGGAAGCTTCAACTGGTCCAACGTGCGGCAGCCATGATACTAACAGGAGCAGGACGCAGGGAGCATACAACCCCCTTGTTGTACCAGCTCCACTGGCTGCCGATTTGCTACCGGGCTCAATTCAAGGTGCTGGCGTTGGCCTATAAAGCCCTAAACGGTTCTGGCCCAAGTTACCTATCCGACCGCATCTCCACCTATGAACCCACCAGGACTTTGAGATCTTCCGGGGAGGCCCTGCTCTCGATCCCGCCTGCATCACAGGCGCGGCTGGCGGGGACGAGAGACAGGGCCTTCTCGGTGGTGGCCCCTCGGCTGTGGAACGCCCTGCCCACGGACATCAGATTGGCTCCCTCATTGATGGTATTCCGGAGAAGAGTGAAGACTTGGTTATTCGAACAGGCGTTTGAATAAAAAGTGCAATGAATTTTAGGAAATGGAACCACGACTGACGAGTTTGGATCATGATTCTAGTTATGAGACGCCAATTGATTGATTGTCTATTATTGTTAATTGCTTAACTTGTTTCTGTGTTAACTGTTTTTAATTACCTGTTGATACCGCATTGAATTTTTGCATTGATTGTTCGCTTTGTTTGTGCTCGACTGTTGTAAACCGCTATGAGTCGCCTTAGGGCTGAGAATGGCGGTATACAAGTGAAGTAAATAAATAAATAAATAAATAAATAAATAAATATAAATACAAGCCGATGTGCATGTGTGCATATGAGGTCTAGCAGTGCATAATAGAGGGAATCTTTTTTAAAAAATCAGATCTCTCTCCTCCCGCAATTGTTAAAATAAAAAGTTTCAGAGATTTCTAATTGCTTTCCATATGTGCTTCCCTTGAACCATCTGTGTGTCTGTTTGACAGCCCCATCAGCTGTTTTGGGCTTTTTAGAAGCACACATGCACTGGAGCAGTCTACACAGGAGGCAGTGAAAGAAAGCAAGTGTTTTGCATGACTGCAGGGATATTTTACAGTCATGCAAAGGTGCACCTTTTTCAGCTGGAATGGGTTATAGCACGTGCTTTTTACCTCTTAACCCAATCCCTCCTGCACTTTGGCCAAGCATTTTTTTAACCACACCCCCTTTAAATCCAGTTTTTCTGGATTTTATAGCATGTGTCGATGGGCCCAAAGTCACAAAGAACACCATGGATGAAAACATGTTAGCAGCAGAATATTCAAAATAATTACATGACTTTTCCACAGGCAAAGAAATCAGTTTTAAATATAAAATATTTTGATGATGGCAGAAGGAGGATTTTTCAGTTCTTCTGTTGAGTTCAGAAAAGATTCTTTAGAAATAGAAATCTCAGAATTTCCCCAATGATGGAATAGATTGCCACCCTCTAAAAGCAGTGTTTCACACGAGTTTTCCCCCCCATGTCCACACACACACACTTAAATATATCACTGGATTCAAATTATTTTCCAACAGGTCAATTGTATTAATTAATAGATGGGCAAATTGTATTGTATTGTCAAATATAAGCCGATATCATGCTATTAGTATCTACTCTAATTGAAGCAAAGTAGCACATTTTTAGCCATAGTGATAAAAGGGTAGATCCTTGGTCAGCTAAAGGTTTTTCAGAGAGCCAGTTTGATGAAGGGCTATGGGCTGGGCATATTGGCTAATTTGCTAACTGGAAATCTCATATACCAGCTGGACTTCTGCCTACTCCCAGTGTTGGTCTATTCATATTTAGTTTATCTTAACAAGCTGGGAGTTTATGGGAGTTGTAAGATAAGAATGTAAGCTTATCTTTGCAAGCTAGATGGATCTGATTAGCTGAAATATCCCTTCACAGCACAAGAGGCACCAACGTTTCCTGTATCTAGTCCTGATCAGTCATTATCTAAGGCACCATGAAGGCAATCCTGATCTTCTCCCTCATTTGTGTTTGCATCTCCATCATTCATGGTGAGTGCTGTTCAATCTTATTTAAAGGACAAGGTTTGTTGTTGTCTTTTTTGTTTGTTTGTTTTGGAAGGGCAGAAGGCAACAGAGGATGAGTTGATAGCTTTCATGGTCAAAAGGCAATTAAATGACACCTCTTGGCGTGATGCCTTCCTCCTCTTGCTCACCAGGGCCGAATGGAGGTGGCGGAACATTGGAACAAACTAGGGAAGTTCTTTCAGCTCCAGAAGTGGTTGGAGCTAAAGGAAAAATATGAAGGACCAAAAATCCCAGGCTATTTTTGTTCTTTTACACCCTCCCAGTTGGTCATTAAATCTTTGGAAAGTAATTTTTAATATTTTGGAATGGGATTGGGGGTGGGGGTGGGGGGGGGGAGAGGGAGGGAGGGAAAAGAGAACACAAAATGATAGCATAGCTCAACAAAACATGTTTTCTTGGTATTTGATTTTTTAGGCCCATTCCTGGAGTTATCTTGGGTGCTGATTCATAAAATTGCATTGCATACACCACACCAGTTCTTATTTCTCAGAGTTATCATGGCTTTTAGTGGGATATGTTCTGTATCTCAAAAACTAGAGGCAATAGGGGAAAACAGGTGCCATTTTTGGAATCAGCCGGCCAAATATGTCCTCAAACAGGACTAATATTTAAGGCATTTAAGACAGTGTAGTATTATGGGGAGCAGTATGTGGCTTTATGGGGGGAAAAGACATCAGCATGCCATTCAAAATAATCCACAATTCTGTCTATAGCAAAGGCTATAGACAGAATGAACACAAAGGGTGCTCACCAATGCTTCCTCTTCATCCTGGAAGGAAGTGACAAATAAAGTGCTGCAGGTTTCCATCCTAGGCCGGTTCTGTTCAACATCTTTATTAATGACTTAGATGAAGGGCTAGAAGGCATGATCATCAAGTTTGCAGACGACACCAAATTGGAAGGGATAGCCAATAGTTCAGAGGACAGGAGCAGGATTCAAAACGATCTTGACAGATTAGAGAGATGGGCCAAAACTAACAAAATGAAGTTCAACAGAGACAAATGCAAGATACTCCACTTAGGCAGAAAAAAAGAAATGCAAAGATACAGAATGGGGGATGCCTGGCTTGATAGCAATATGTGTGAAAAAAATCTTGGAGCCCTTGTGGACAACAAGCTAAACATGAGCCAACAATGTAATGCGACGGCTAAAACAGCCAATGGGATTTTGGCCTGCATCAATAGGAGTCTAGTGTCCAGATCTAGGGAAGTACTGCTACCCCTCTATTCCGCAGGGATGGGCAAACTTTTTTGCCCATATTGTGGGCCTGGATGAGTGGGTCGGGCTGAGAGGGAGGAGGACCATTAACATGCTGGGCAGACCCATGAGAGGTAGGGTCTAGGAAAGGTGGTGCCAGAAGGGGGCAGGGCAGGGCCAGGGTCACCCTCAGGTTGTCCCATCATTATGCTGGGAGGAAGGCAGGACACAGGTCGACTGCCCCAATCCTCCTCCCCGATCCTCGGGCTGTCGTCTTGGCATTATGCCAGAAGGAGGGTGAAACAGGCGGAAGCTGAGAGTGCTCTGGAGGACTCTCAGCTACCATGTGTCTCCCTTGACCTGCCCTCCTGGTATAAGGATGTGACCACTCACACCATCCTTATGCCAGGAGAAGGGTGAGCTACACATTGGGTGAGATGACTCCAGAGGGCTCTCAGCTACTGCGTGACTACCTCGCCCATCTTTTTGGCATTAGGATGTGGCAGGCCACCATGTCCTTATGCCAAGAAAACGGAAAATGATGAGGGCCTGAGGTAATGGCCCAGAGGGCCGCATCTGAACCCTGGGCTTTAGTTTGCTAAAGCCTGGTCTAGATCCAGGGATGTCATGCTACCTCGCTATTCTACCTTGGTCAGACCACACCTGGAATACTGTGTCCAGTTCTGGGCATCACAATTGAAGGGAGATGTTGACAAGCTGGAATGTGTCCAGAGGAGGGTGACTAAAAGGATCAAGGGTCTGAAGAACAAGCCCTATGAGGAGCGGCTTAAAGAGCTGGGCATGTTTAGCATTCAGAAGAGAAAGCTGAGAGGAGACATGATGAGGGCCATGTATAAATATGTGAGAGGAAGTCATAAGGAGCTTGTTTTCTGCTGCACTGGCCAATAGGACACAGAACAATGACTGCAAACTACAGGAAAAGAGATTCCACCTGAACATGAGGAAAAACTTCCTAACTGTGAGAGCTGTTCAGCAGTGGAGCTCTCTCTCTGCTCCGGAGTGTGGTGGAGGCTCCTTCTTTGGAGGCTGGGTGGCCATCTGTCGGGGGTGGTTTGAATGCGATTTTCCTGTTTCTTGGCAGTGGGTTGGACTGGATGGCCCAAGAGGTCTCTTCCAATTCTATGATTCTATGATCTCTCCAAAACTTTAGAGCGGCGTCTCACCAGTTTCTTGGAACTTCAAAAGTTAAAATTTCCTCCACTTCCTCCCATTTTTTCTGTCTCCAGGAGAAAATAAGTATATAACGTGTGCTTCATGTGATCTGGGAGACACCAAATGCGAAAATTGTACAGGAGAGGCCTGCGTCACTATCCATCAGTTAAGTGAGTATAGTGGACCCATAGATAGACATGCCAGGTCTGAGATTCTACATCAAATGAGGACAATGTAATGCTTAGTTCTTGCACAGTTCTATGTCTTTCCCCGCTCACTGTTAAATCTCCACCTTCAGGGCAAATGCTGTGGCTGCTTTGTATTGAAGGAAAAGAAGGAAGAGACAATTCAGAGGGGGAAAATCCAACTAGTCTGAGCTCATAAGGGAAAGATATAACTGTGTTTTGGCAGCTGTGGAAGACAGGAACCTCCAGTGCTCAATCTAAAGGAGACATGCACATCTGTTAACCAGATTTATTCCATGAATCCAAAGTCACTTAAATGAGGCTCACTTTGGCAGCTCAATGTGGTCATGGCTATGGGCTTGTCTAAAATTTCTAACAAAACTCAATACAATCTGCAGGTTTATATATAAAAGGATTAAATCAGCATAAAAGGAAATAGAGGCCCTTTCTACACAGCTGAATAAAATCCCACATTTTCTGCTTTGAACTGGAATATATGGCAGTGTGGACTCAGATAACCCAGTTTTATTTATTTCGTACCAAAAGCATTGCATAAATTAGTATAAAACCGATAAAAATAGAAGGAGTGCAGGTGGCTAAATATCTTTTGACCAAAAACGTGCAACAGCAACGGCATTGTCTGTAGCCTCTAACAATTCCTCCTCTGTACATGAGGCAGGGCACAGTGGACATGCATACAGATGCGGAGTTGTCTGTTCTGCTCCACAGTTACATAAGGTGTGGGATTCTTTTAGGTAGTGCCATTTTGCCAGGTTGTCTTTTGATCTGCCCACCCCACTTCTGAGTCCATTCAGGGACTTCCAAGTTGCCCATTCTTGGTTTGCCCCTGGAAGAAGACCCTCGTAGGGGGGCATCCAGTTGGGGTTTCCTGGTTTGGCTGACCAGAGGGATACTTTTGCTGTTGCTGGGGGGATGCTAAGAGGAGTGGTAGTTCTCATAAAGTTTTTCCTTCATGAGGAAAAAAAAGCAGATATTGTGGGGTTTTCTGGCTTGATATTCTGGGTTATATGGCTGTGTGGAAGGGCACCGAGTTGAGGGGAAAAGGGAGGGGGGGGATAGATAGTGATTTCGAAAATTTCAATGATCTCATGTCCTGATTGAAGCAATTAAGACCCCTTCCAAACAGCTGCATAAAATTCACATTGAATGGGACTATATGGCAATGTGGACTCAGATAATCCAGTTCAAAGCAGATACAGTGTTCCCTCACTTATTGCAGGTGTTACATTCCAGGACCACCCACAATAAGTGAAAATCCGTGAAGTTGGGATGCTATATATATACTGCATGAGGTGTAGGACCGCCCCCTCCTAGGAGTGGCTCTGCCCACTCATCTCTCCCTCTCCTCTCTCTCTCTCTTTCTCAATCCCTTTGCCTTCTCTTTCCTTTCCTCTTTCCACCTCCCTCCTTCCCTCCTCCCCTTGCACACCACACTTCCTTCTGGCTCCTCCTCATGCGCCAGGCTCCCCATCCCCTCCTCCTTCCCCGCTTCTTTTTCGCTTTCCGGTGGCTGCACTGGGAAACATGGCGTTGGAGGGGATGATTTTAACCATGCGTGGGGGTCCTCACAGGTAATGGGTATACAGTATTCCCTCACTACTTGCATATTTTTAATTCATATATATATATATATATATATATATATATATATATTTAAAAACCCACGAAACAGCAAGTCTGTGAAAAGCAAACCGTGAAGTAGCGAGGGAACACTGTATTGTGGATTATCTACCTTGATATTTTGGGTTATATGTCTGTGTAGAAGGGCCCCTAGAGCAGGCATGGGCATAGTTCAGTCCTCCAGGTGTTTTGGACTTCAACTCCCACAATTCCTAACAGCCGGTAGGCTGTTAGGAATTGTGGGAGTTGAAGTCCAAAACACCTGGAGGACCGAACTTTGCCCATGCCTGCCCTAGAGAGAGACCAGACATGTTGGTCTCTCAGCATAATCATCAAAACCTTGCTCGCCATTGTCTTTCTGCTGGAATCAAGTGGAACAACTGCTGACAGATAACAGTTAAGCATCTCCTCTCCCTTTGTCTGCCTCCAATGTGTTCTGATGAGATATTCATGTTCTTTTTTCTCCAGGTGAAAGCAACAATGGAAACTATAAAGGGTGCAGTAATCAAACTCTGTGTAAAGAAGTTGCCTTCACTTTGACTCCTGCTGATAAAAAGCAAATCCAGATCAGCTCAGCCTGTTGTGCAACTGACTTGTGCAATCAAAACCTGACACTCAGTTGTGAGTATAGGAAAGGATTTCAAGACTTCCTTCCTGAGAACAATGGAAGAAGGGAGCAGTATTGTCGAAATGTTGGCTGGGATTCAAAACCACCTGCTTAGTTAGGTGCACTAGGCAATCAAGTACAGGCAGCCCCCAAGTTATGAACAAGATAGGTACTGCAAGCTTGTTCTTAAGCTGAATTTGTATGTAAATTGGAATAAGAACACTTTGGAATATACATTTGCTTTGGATAACACAGAGAAACACCCCTGAGGTGTTTGTTTTGGTGTCTGCGCCCCTCTTCAGAAGATTTTGTCTCACTTTCTGTCCCTGTGATAATTAGATTTTGAAAAAGTTGGCTTGTTGTGGAATCAAGAACTGGTGATAAACCTTTTCCCCATGACAACTCTTCCAAGAGTGAATTTCCCTCCCAAGAGCTAGATTTCTTGCACTTCCTGTTTCCTCACCCCCATATGAGTCATATGTAAGTTAGGTGTTTGGAACTCAGGGACTGCCTGTAGTTAAGAATACTTACTAAGTAGCTTCTCTTGCCCCAACATCTCCAATCCTGCTTTACCAGGGATCACCCTGTTGATTGCAGCACGTCATGCTGATCATTGGTTGCAGCACATCATTGCTTCTAACCAGTGATCTCTTGTGTGACAATCAGAAGCAGGATCTTCTCGGCACCAGAGATCACTGGTGGGAGGGATGGTGATATCAAGTAAATTAGTGGTTTTCAACCTTCGTAATGCCACGACCCCTTAATACAGTTCCTCATGTTGTGGTGACCTCCAACCATAACATTATTATCGTTTCTACTTTGTAACTGTAATTTTGCTACTGTTGTGAATTGTAATGTAAATATCCGATATGCAGGATGTATTTTCATTCATTGGACCAAATTTGGCATAAATACTCAATACACCCAAATCTGAATACTGCTGGGGTTGGGGGAGGGGATTGATTTTGTCATTTGGAAGCTGTAGTTGCTGGGATTTATAGTTCATCTACAATCAAAGAGCATTCTGAAATCCAGCAACAATTCAATTGAACCAAACATGGTACACAGAACTCCAATGACCAACAAAAAATACTGGAAGGGTTTGGTAGGCATTGACCTTGAGTTTTGGTGATGCAGTTCACCTGCCGCCAGAGAGCACTGTGGATTCAAACAGTGATGGATCTGGACCAAACATGGCATGAATACCCAATGTGCCCAAATGTGAACACTGGTGGAGTTTGGGGAAAATAGACCTTGACATTTGGAAGTTGTAGGCCAGGGGCTGAATCTGGCCCACCATGTCATTTCATGTGGCTCTCCAGATGCTGGACCACAGCTCCTGAATTATCATTAGACATCATGACAATAGCTGGTAGTGAGAGGGATGTGATTTTAAATGAGATTTTCTAATGACTGTAAGTCCCAGATGTTCTGATTTGCAAAGAGGTCTTGCTTGCCAGAAACTGCTGATGCTTAGAGAAAAGCTGCCACAGGAAGACAATTGTTCTCTGTGTGCTGCTCAAAGATTCAAGCTGTAAGTTAGTAATGTACTCCCTCACTCCCTAATTTCTCACAGTCATATAAGAGCAACATGCAACTAGATAAACCGACTTGCAGCTTCAAGCTCAGGATCAGAGAGACATGAACGATACCATTGTTAGACGCTTCTGCTGTTAGAAAGATAGAAGAGCCAATGAAAATTCATATTAGTCAATGAAACTGCACCTTTAACTTTCATATAAAAAGTAACAAAATGAATGTAGCTGAACTCTAGGCGCAGCAAAACCCTTTTGGTTGCATTGTATATGCATTTTACTGTCTTATTTATTTATTGTATCTTATTTATTTATTGTATCAGGAGCATCCAAACAGTTGTATTAAAAAACCCCAAAAAACCCACCACAAAGTTTGCAAATTTGGCATTCTATTAAATGTCCTTTAATACATTAAAAGTCCATTTAATACATCTGCCAACATTAAGAAATGGGGCTTCCAAGTGGATTCTATGGCATGCGAGTGTGGAGAAGAGCAAACCACAGACCACTTATTACAATGCAACCTGAGTCCTGCCACATGCAGAATGAAGGACCTTCTAATAGCAACACCAGAGGCACTCCAAGTGGCCAGCTACTGGTCAAAGGACATTCACTGTATTGATCTGGCCACACAATAAACAGCTTTTTACAGTTTGAAGATTCAACTTTTTGTTGATGTCCTTCATCCTCCCCCCTTAGTGGGAAGGGGACTCCTGCTTTTGGATTTGGATTTTAGGAGTAATTTTGCATCTTTGCCTGTTTTGGATTTGGATTTTAGGAGTAATTTTGCATCTTTGCCTTCCAGATGTGATACAGTCACATCTGGAAGGCTGCCATTTAAGTGCTCAGTCAGAATAGTGGGATTTGTGAATATGTGAATAATATGTCTGACTTAAAAATGTCCTTTAACCTTTTCCCAACCTCAGAGCCACAAGTGCTGTTGGGTTGCAATTCCTATTATCCCCAATCTGCATGACTGATAATAAAATGATGTTAGTTGTTCAATAAGATCTGGGGACTCAAACAGAGTAAAAATCTAAAAAGTGTTAATCACTTTGTAAAAATGATAGTTGACCCTCTGTATCCATGGATTCTCTATCCATGGATTCAATGACCCTTTGAAAGTAACCATAAGGCTGATGTGACCCTCAGTGAAAATGAGCTTGACACCCTTGAGGTAGAGGATGAATGTTTGTTGACAGTACCTGGCCCTATTCTGGTACCCACTCACTTTGAGTCCATTTCAACTGCCATGGAATCCTGGAGTTTGTTGTTTGGTGTGGCACAAGAGCACTTTTGATATAAGAGTTCTAAAAATGCTTTAAAACTTCAGATTCCAGAATTGTGTCGTGTGTATCACGGCAGCTAAAGTACAATCATAGTGCTGTAACTGTATCGTGTGAATAGTACTCTGCTGTTCTTCACTCATCACTTCTATTGGGTTTTTTTTACAGCACCTCCTGTTGGTACTGTTGAAAATGGAGTGAATTGCCCAGTGTGTGAGAATTACAACAGCCTCCAGGTGTGCCAAGCCAATACACACCTTGCCTGCCGAGGAGCCGAACAGAAGTGCATTACTCTTGAAGGGAAAACAAAAGGTATTAAGGCATATTATTTTGGCAACAAATGGGGGAAAGACAATTGGACTTTCTTGTGTCAAATGCAGGAGTATTATTTCCTGGGATAACAGGATCATTGAATCTGAGATATGAAAGCAATCACAAGGGCCACCTAGTTCACCCTCTACCATGGAGGAATGTACAACTACACCCCTGAAAGGTGCTCATCAAATCTGTGAATCACAATCCTTTGAGGCAACCCATTGCATGGTCAAATAGAATTTACAATTGAGATGATGATGATGATGATGATGATGATAGTAATAATAATTTAATTCTTACTCACCTCTTCTCATGGCTCGAGGTGAGTTACAACATTGCTAAAACACATAATCATTTAAAAATACTCAGTAATATACACATATCAAAATATATTTCCATAAAATACTTATTTTGTTGTTGTTTAGCCATTCGGTCACTTCTGACTCTTTGTGACCTCATGGACCAGCCTATGCCAGAGCTCCCTGTCAGCTGTGGCTACCCCCAGTTCCTTCAAGGTCAAGTCAGTCATTTCAAGGATATCATCAATCCATCTTGTCCTTGGTTGGCCCCTCTTCTTTTTTTCCTTCCATTTTCTCCAGTGTCATTATCTTCTCTAAGCTTTCCTGTCTTCTCATGATGTGACCAAAGTACTTCATCTTTGCCTCTCATATCCTTCCCTCCAGTGAGCAGTCAGGCTTTATTGCCTAGAGTATGGACTGGTTGGATCTTCTCACTGTCCAAGGCACTCTCAGAATTTTCCTCCAATACCACAGTTCAAAGGTGTCTATCTTCCTTCGCTCAGCCTTCCTTATGGTCCAGTTCTCACATCCATAGACTACTACGGGTCATACCATTGCTTTAATTATGTGGATCTTCATTGCCAGTGTGATGTTTCTACTCTTCACTATTTTATTGAGATTGGTCATTGCTCTCCTCCCAAGAAGGAAACGTCTTCTGATTTCCTGGCTATAATCTGCATCTGAAGTAACCTTTGTGCCTAAAACACATATGAAAATGCACAAAACAAAAATTAGACATAGAATGGAAGTTTAAAGTTTGTCATTAAAACTGTCTGAGATGGAATATCTTTCTTGTAATTTGCATCTAGTGGTCCATTTTCTATCATTTGCAGAAGCAGAAAACAAGCTTGTTCTATCTCCTACAGACATCCCTGCAAATATTAAAAAAAATAGCTATCATCTCACTTTTCCCCTCTTGATCCAGAATTTCAGCATCTATTTTTCATTTCAGACCTTTGCAGGCTCAGTTGGACATATAAGCCATCATGCAAGCAATAAACACACATGCATGAATCGACCCAAAACAGAACGTGGTGGGATGTAGTCTTGAAACAGTTTTTTTATTTTTCCATTTTTGAATCTGGTTCTTTTCTTTTCACAGATGGAAAGGGCAACTTCACCTTCCAAGGCTGTGCAACGGAAAATGCCTGCAAACTGAGGGTAGATGACCTTGTGCCCTTCAAAGACAAGATCTATATGTTGTCCAAGAATGCAACGTGCACCGACAGAGGAACCATGGCAGCAATCTCTTCTCCAATGGTCCTAATTCCTGTGGTTGTTGGATTCCTCTTAGCAAATATCCATTCTTAACCTAGGCAAATACCAGCTTGCTCCTGAGTGCTGGATAAAAAAAGCTCCACCTTTCTTTTTTATTATGAGAATTGCAGACAACATATTTGTCATGAGGACTGAGTGATACACACACACACACTCACACATATTTTAAAAGGAGATAACTCCTTTCTCGAGTTTCTCAAACTGTAGGACTCTTTCTCATTGAGAACAAATCTATCAAATATAGGGTGTCGCTTCAATCAATTTAATCTCAAGGGCTCAGTGTAGCACTTTTTTGTAACAGAGTAATTGGACTGAGAGATACTACTCAAATAAAATATATTCTAAATAACACACGTGAATGTGAATTTTTTAAGGGCACAACTCTGAGGATCTGGGAATTCTATATACAATAGAGTCTCACTTATCCGACATAAACGGGCAGGCAGAACATTGGATAAACGAAAATGTTGGATAAAACGGAGTCTCCTACTGTTATCTGTCTGACGTGGCACTAGACACCTAGAATACTAACAACAAGGACTCAAACGGTTAAAGCAATGCCTTGGTGCTAGAGAAGTCCAGCAGGAAATGCCCGGGTGTGGAGAAGAGTGTGGAAATCACAGAGGGAAGGAGGGAGGATGCTTCTGCTTCCAGTCCTGCCTCATTTCCCCTTTCCTCCCTCCACTTCCTTCTTGTCTTGCCTTTTTCACTTACTGGAAATGGAGAGAGAGTTGAATAGCACTCTTTTAATTGAAGGGGAAATGCTGGAGAAAAAGGGGAGTGTTGGATAAGAGCGTCAGATAAGACGGAATGTCGGATAAGCGAGACTACTTTATTATGCTGGGCAGATGTTGACATGCAGTTGACAGTGAAAACACATTCCACTGTTTTGGCAGCAGGGGCTGGCAGGAGAGTTTCACAATTCACACAACTTCTTTCCTCCTTTCCAATAAGTGGGCCATTCTTCATTTGAAATGATATATTACAATTAAACTGGATCTCTGTGGATTTGGTCTGTCAAAATGTGATGCCTTAAGAAGCAGAGAAAGCGAGGAGGTAAGCAGAGAGAGCATTTTCTTGCTGTTGTATGACTCCAGTTTTCTTCTGATGTATGGCAAGCCTTAGGTGAGCCTGTCACAAGGTTCTAAAGGAGTTGACAGTGTGAGGCTTGCCTAGGGTCACCCATTGACTTGTCCTGTCTGAGCATGGATTAAAACCCTGATCTCCAGAGTCATTCATCCATCTTGCCTTTGGTCAGCCCCTCTTCCTTTTTCCTTCCATTTCCCCCAGCATCATTATCTTCTCCAAACTTTTCTGTCTTCTCATTATGTGGTCAAAGTACTTCATTTTTCCTCTAATATCCTTCCCTCCAGTGAGCAGGCTTGGTCACTGGAGGGAAGGTTTTATTTCCTGGAGTATGGACTGGTTTGATCTTCTTGAAGTCCAAGGCATTCTCAGAATTTTCCTCCAACACCACAGTTCAGAAGCACCTATCTTCCTTCACTCAGCCTTCCTTATGGTCCACCTCTCACATCCATAGGTTATTATGGGGAATACCATTGCTTGAACTATGCGGATCTTTGTGGCCAGTGTGATATCTCTACTTTTCACTATTTTATCGAGATTGGTCATTACTCTCCTCCCAAGAAGTAAACGTCTTCTGCAGTAATCTTTGCGCCTTTCATTACTCCACATCAAAATGGATCAGAAAGTAACATCATAACATTTACTGTCAACATTTTGTGAGGGACTGAAGATGGTCTTGGTTTCTGGGATGCTTGTAAGAGTGAGAATATTTTTTTTATATGTTTTCATATTTGGCTTGCTGTGGGGCAAAACCTGGCTGAAAATTGAAGGTTGAGGTCTTTGTTTGGCAGAGTTTCAGGATTTTAAGATTCCATGTATCACACTATAAACCCACATCCAGTGGCTTCAGGCAAGTAGAAAGAGGCATTCAGTGACCCTTCCATTTTGGATATGACAACCTCCTTGCTCCTGTTATCAATACAAATTGTCTTGCTGCTTTCTTCTGCTCAGTGTCAGAGCAGTGGTTCTCAACCTGTGGGTCCCCAGATGTTTTGGCCTTCAACTCCCAGAAATCCTAACAGCTGGTAAACTGGCTGGGATTTCTGGGAGTTGTAGGCCAAAACACCTGGGGACCCATAGGTTGAGAACCACTTGCTCTAGATCTAAATAGGAAAAAAAAAAACCATTTAGACCTCTTATCTTAGTTTTAATGGTAGCAGAAAGAAAGGGAAGCAAAGTCAAGGAAACCTTGGCACCCGAGCAGGGTGTGGGTCTCCAATTATGCCAGCCCTGTGCCTGGCATTGCCAGTGACAACAGCCCTACCTTTGTTTGCAATTGATCCAGGTAGCTCTGTTAGAAAAAACAGTGTAAGTTTTATTGCTAGGCAGTAAAACCATGCATTTCTTTTATTGCCGTGAGAGACTAAATGTCATCATGCCAATAGGGATGGGCAGAAAGCAAGGAGATATTGGCCTCTTCCACACTAATCCTATATCCCAGGATCTGATCCCAGATTCTCGTCTTATCCCAGATTATCTGGCAGTGGAGACTCATATAATCCCGTTTAAAGCAGATAATTTGGGATACTTAAGCGATCCCTCGTAGTCCGAGGATGATGGTCCTCTGAGTGTAGTGTCCTGGCAGTGGGTCTGTAGTGACTGTGGAGCCCTATTCTTGATCTGCATCTTCTCCACATTGAGGGTAACGGTTTCCAGGTGGAAGGAAGTCCCGCTTGGGGTTGGCTTGAAGTGCCTTCCTCTTGGCACGTTTCTCTCTTTCACCCTCCATTTGTGCCTCTTCAAATTCTACAGCACTGCTGGTCACAGCTGACCTCCAGCTGGAGCGCTCAAGGGCCAGGGCTTCCCATTCTCAGTGTCTATGCCAGAGTTTTTAAGGTTGGCTTTGAGCCCATCTTTAAATCTCTTTTCCTGTCCACCAACATTCCGTTTTCCATTCTTGAGTTCGGAATAGAACAACTGCTTTGGGAGATGATGGTCGGGCTTCTGGACAACATGGCCAGTCCAGCGGAGTTGATGATTTGGGATAATTTGGGATAAGACCCTAAGATAAAGGGCAGTGTAGAAGGGGTCCAAGTGATGCCTCTATTTCAAGTTATGGAGAAAGTATCTGCAACAAATCTTTGGAAAGATTTCATGTGACTTGAGATATAAAGGTATAGCTTAGGTATAGGAAACACGTGTTTTGAAGTGCATTACTGTCTCTGTACAACACACTAAGGGATGCAGCAGTTTAATGGAGATGGTTTCCCGCAGGAAAACCAGGGAACTGCAGCTTGATGAGAATGTCGAAATGCATAGCACTCCCTCATAAAAGAACAGTTGTTCAGGATGAAGGAATAAATAAAAATGTACATAGATATCCTCTCAGAGTGTAGGCGGCGCCACACCACACAATAAACAAAAGAGCCACAAAAACTCTTTCTGGGCAATGCACTTTTAAAAATTGGGACAAAGTGTGCTGGCAAAATGCAAACTCTTCCCAGCAAAAGAACAACTTTACAGGAAGAGCCATAAGTGCATAGAGCGAGAGAATCGAACCTTCATTAGCATCTAATAGGTCAATTCTCTATCAAAGGCCCCTTTACACTGCCATATAATTCAGATTATCAAATTGGATAAGACACATTCTCTGCTTTGAACTGTTAGGACATGTAAAAAATCAGTTGGTGAGTGTATTAACTGAAAATGCAAAGCACGAAGCTGATTGTTTGGGACATGCCCAAGAAGCTAGCCGAATCTGGGAGTTTTGACAACAGTTACATATTTGGGCTTTAGCTGTGCAGGAGCTTGCAGACAGAGAGGGAGACAGTTCTTGCATCATGAGCTGCTGGAAGGGGATCTTCCACACGGGCACCTAAATACCATTCGAATCTCTCTGAAAGGATGTGTGTGAGTCAATGCAACTGTTCGCATGATTGTATATATGTTGCTCTGCATTACAAAGAGTAAACTTCTTATTCTTTACTGATCATCTGCGTGGCATATTTTCTTTCTCTGGCAAGACAATGTGTGGATTGATAAAATGTGAACTACATGTGATTTTCATTCCACCATACACTGGATTATATGAGTCTACACTGCTATATAATCCAGTTCAAAGCAGACAATCTGGATTTATATGGCTGTGCAGATGGGTCAAATTGTGACTTTTATAGCCCCTTCTACACTTATCTACACTTATCTACACTTATTTTATAGCCCCTTCTACACTTATCTACTCCAGCAAAGGATCACCGCCTTGTCGGGGCGCTGGAGCTTGAGCACCTCAATGATGTCATGAGCGAAACCGTGAAGGGCCACCCAAGACGGGACGGTTGTGGCAGAGAGGTCAGACCAAGCGTGATCCCTGGGGAAGGCAATGGCAAACCACTCCAGTATCCTTGCCAAGAAAACTAAATGGACCAGTATAACCAGAGATATGTCGGTATGCCATTGGAAGATGGGACTCCCAGGTCGGAAGATGGCCAAAATGCTACTGGGGAGGAGCAGAGGATAAGTTCAACTAGCCCCAGATGTGATGACACAGCTAGCTCAAAGCCGAAAGGAAGGCTAGCGGCCGACGGTACTGGAGGTGAACGAAGAATCCGATGCTCTAAAGATCAACACACCATAGGAACCTGGAATGTAAGATCTATGAGCCAGGGCAAATTGGATGTTGTTATTGGCGAGATGTCACGACTAAAGATAGACATTCTGGGGGTCAGCGAACTGAAGTGGACTGGAATGGGCCACTTCACATCAGATGACCACCAGATCTACTACTGCGGACAAGAGGAACATCGAAGAAATGGAGTAGCCTCATAATTAATAAGAAATTCGCTAAAGCGGTGCTTGGATACAACCCAAAAAATGACAGAATGATCTCAATTCGAGTGCAAGGAAAGCCTTTCAACATTACAGTGATCCAAATATACGCCCCAACCACAGCTGCTGAAGAAGCAGAAGTAGATCAGTTCTATGAGGATCTGCAGGACCTACTGGATAATACACCAAAAAGAGACATTATTTTCATTACAGGAGACTGGAATGCCAAGGTGGGAAGTCAAATGACAACAGCGATCAAGGGCAAGCATGGTCTGGGAGAACAAAATGAAGCGGGACGCAGGCTGATAGAATTTTGCCAGGAAAACTCGCTGTGTATAACGAATACTCTCTTCCAACAACCTAAAAGACGGCTTTACACATGGACCTCACCAGACGGTCAACACCGAAATCAGATTGACTACATCCTTTGCAGCCAAAGGTGGCGGACATCCATCCAGTCGGTGAAAA